GCATGTATCGTATGTACCATATGTACGGTATCGTATCTACTGTGTGTACCGCAAATATATATATACCGTACATATATATCGTATACCGTATATATATATATATATACGGTATGTACTGTACGTCCTTGTATGTATCATACGTGCCTGACGTATATATACCGTATCTACTGTACCGTACCGTACATATTGTACATACTCATACATATCGTACATACCTGTATGTACCATACGTACCGTATATACTTGTGTGTATATACCGTATCTACCGTGGGTATCGTACGTATATACCGTACGGTACACACGGTACCGTACAACACGTACACACACATACGTACCGCATATATGTGTATGTACCGTACATACGTACGTACCATGTATACTTGTATGTACCGTATTTACCGTGTGTACTGTACGTATATTATACATACCGTATGTACCGTACGTATTGTACGTGTACAGTACGTGTAGTGTGTACGTGTACGTATTGTACAGTGTATACTGTGTATCTACCGTGTGTACTGTACGTACGGTACGCACCGTATATACTTGCGTGTACCGTATCTATCGTATGTGTACCGTACATACCGTATATACCTGTAAGTACCGTATATACCTGTATGTACCGTATATACCGTATGTACTGTACGTATCGTATATACTTGCGTGTATTGTACGTAGGGAGCGCGCGAGCCCTTATTAACCGCGCATCCGCGCCGCTTCGGTCGAGATTCCAAGTTTGTTCAATTAGCTGCGGCATCTACTTTGCTCAGAGTAAATATATCTGGGGAAAATTGCGAGACAGCGTTATTCGCAACTCGCTCTCTCACGGGCACGGGCGCGCGGCGCGCGTTTCGGGCAGAGTCAAGCAGTCGAACGACCGACCGAGCGATCGTCGTCGTCGTCGTCGTCGTCGTCGTCGTCGGCACAACGCGAGAATATACAAACTGCGCCAATTACTCGCTCGTGAAATTCCAAGAACAACGTAATCTCGGATCGTTTTACCAGACAACGGTGGGCGGGCTGGAGAGAGGGATTTCTCTGTGAAATTTTTCAAAGCGCACGTTCGCGCTCGCGCGCGCGCGAGGCGCGAATCGAAGTTCCATAACAGGTTAAGAGGAAGCGTAAATATTGCCTCGCGCTATTGTTAGCAGTCGTTAGCGATTAACAAGGCGATGTAGCGTGTAAGACCTGCACCACCGCGCCGCCGTGTGTTGCGCGCAGTTTCCGGAGAATTTACATTAGTTGAATCGGACGGTCTTTAGGCGAAAACTTCGAAACGACCGTGCGCGATTTGGCCGTCGTTGTTGTTAATTGGCGGAGGATTAGCCGGCACGGAGGGGGAGAAACAGGAGTGTACGCGCGGAGGAGAAATTAAAATCGCCAACGCAGAAATATTCGTGGCTTTCGCGCCCCGTTCCTTTTGTTTTCTTCCTTTTTTCTTTCCGTTACCTCCCCTTCTCTTTCTAGATAAATTGGAACGTAGATAGACTGTGAGAAAAATGTAAAAAAAAAAAGGGAGAAAAAAGGATAAAATGTAAAAAAAAAAAGGGAAGAAATAAGGACAAAGTGTAGAAAAGAAAAGGAGCATCGCGCAAAGCAGAAAATCGTTAAACCGAAACGAAAACGAAGCACATCTGGATCTGGAGTGGATATGTTTAAAAGAGAAAAGAAAAGGAAGGAAGAAAAGAGCGGAGAACGCGCGCCGGAAGAGGTGAGGGCGCGGGCGGGAATCGCGAAAGAGGCGTGTTATCCGTTCGGTTTTACGATTATGCAATTTATATATTTCGCCCTCTGTTCTATCTCGGATTATCAGGGCCAACCGAATTGCTTTAACCCAATTCAGTCGCGCCCACAAAAGAATACTCGCGGATAATACGAATGTCGAACGTTTGTCAAATACGATTGCCGCCATATAACCGGCACAAGCGTAATACGCACATATGTCGAAATCGACATAATTCCCAGCATGCGCGCGCGCGCGCGCGCGCGTGTACGCGCACATCCATCCAATTATTAATTCCTATATAAATTCATAATCACGACATAACGCATATTCCGCCGAATTACCGTCGCTTTATCTGCATTACAATTACTTGTAATTCGCTCAAAATTGCACGAGGCTCGATCCGAAGCAGTTAAACTCGTTCGACGTCGCGCAAAGCCGGCCGTCGCGCTAACAACACATTTCAACGGCAATTTTGGAAACTTAATTTCTGGAAAAACATGATTAAATGTCAATCGCGGCGGCCGTCGTTGGCCGACTTTCTCGCACAAACGCGACCGTCGCGCGGCTAGAACGACGATACGCTCTCGGCGCGAGTCTCCAGGTCGCGCGCTTCCGTGATTTTAGCGATGTCGAGCGAGAAAGAGAGAGGGGGAGCAGGATGAGAGAGAGAGAGAGAGAGAGAGAGAGAGAGAGAAAGAGAGAGAGTCGAGGTTCAAAAGCGACGAGTAGCCCGACGAAGAGTCGCGAGCCAAGAGACAGAAGCGCGCTGTTATCGCGACTCTTGTTTAATGCATCGCCGAGTGAACGCGCGTGCTGACTACACCGAATCGATTAAAGGCGAAATCGCGCGGACACGTAATTCGTAATCGGTAACACGAATCATCCCCGACGCGGAGTTTTACCGAACGGTGAATTTTACCGGCACGCGCGCTCCCGCCGCGCGACATCTCGCTCGTCGTTGTTTTTCTTTTTTCTTTTTGTTTCACGGCGGCACACGCATACGCCGGGCAAACGGATGACGCGGGCGATAGAGCCGCGCGTTGCAACGTCCGATCCGAGAGAAACACAGGCTGACCGAGAACGGGAGAAGCCGACTCCGATCCTCGTCGTCGTAACCTGCGCGCTCTATCCGCGATAAATCGCCGCGAGCAGCCGCTCGCGCGAGGATGACACCGACGCCTCCATTTGATTTTTACGATCGCGGAATTTGTATCTCGGTCGCGAACTTATCGCCGGCCGGCCGGTCGGCCGGCCGCGCTGAATTATTTCCATTCTTCGCGGCGCGGCGGGTAACAATGCCTTTATGTGCCATAAAACCGGTGCGCGCCCAACGCGCGCGCTCCGTTAACTCTCCCTCCTCTTCTCGAGCGGACGACCGAGCGACCGAGCGACCTTCCGCCCCGGCTACCTCGAGCTACCCTCCGCGCTCTGTGCGGACGTCCACTCGACGCGAACCAAAGTGCTCTCCTCCCCCTCCTCCCTGCCGGCGCTCCGATTTTACACCCCGCGACCGGAAGCGAAGCTGCCACCGCGACTCTGTTGCGAGCGTCGGTCGATGCGGCCGTGCTACCGCGAGATGCGACCAGGCGAGGTGGACGCGATGTGAAAAAGGGCGGGGTTGGAGGGGGGCGGAAAGGGATGGAAAAGAGGGAGACCTGATGGACCGCGAGATATCGCGCGTCGATTCCGCTCCGCCGTCGCAAGTAGCGCACGTCGACGGTTTTATCGACCGTCACACATCCCTCGCCCCCCCCCCCCCCCCGCGCGCGACACACGGACGAGGACTTTACGATCCTGACGCTCGCTGACGGCGCTCATGGGGGCTGCGGAATTTTCGGCGGCGGACAGAACCCGCCTCTGTCAGCGGCGCGGCGCGACGCGGCCGCTCCGCTCCGCTCCGCTCCGGAGGATCGGCCGCTTTACGGCGCTGAAGAGGCAAGCGCGACCGGACGTTTTTCACGTGACGCGCGCGACCGGCGCGATTGGCCGGGTTAACGAGGAAACGCGAGACCCGGGTCGCCAGGCGGCGAACGAATTTCCATGAATTTCGCGGCCATGGCCCGATATAAGCCCGCGGAGAAAATCGCTCGCTTCGGTCTATTTTTTTTATTTGTTTATTTTCCCGCCCGTCCAACGCGCGCGCGACTGGGCCGCTTTTTAATCCGAGATCCCCAATTCGCGCCGAGCGGGCGTTTGCCGAGCGTCTAGAAGCGTACCCCGCGCATCCTGCCGATCTCGAGAGCGACGTATTTTTCATCGGAAACGCGCATCCTTCCTCCCGAGTGGAAAAATTAATAGGGTTCTCTGGTAAGGGCCTGATTATTTTTCCGTAACATTAATCGGGCCGTAGAGGGATACAGGGCTCTGAGATGTGTAACAAATGGTTTAACGGGTCCTTATAAAGCAATATTATAAAGGCCTTCTGAGGCAATATATCAACAGAGACTTATAAGACAATACTAATAGAGCCTTCTAAAGAAATATTTATATTATTGTTTGAATTCGAAAATATTCGTTCCTTTCATTCCAAGAAATGTAAACTGTAATTTCTTTATAAACTTGTTGGCATACAAGAATTTTTTATTTTTAAAATATAACACATAAAAATATAACTTTACAATAAAATACAGCATTCTTTACGCATAAAAATCCTGCTACTGTTTTTATTAAAGTTTGCTACATTTTTAAACGAAGGCGATATTAGAAAAATCCTTGGAAGAGACTAATGAATATGGCACCTAATAAAATCGCCGTCCTAATAAAATTAATAAAATTTGTTTTTAATTGCGCCGCAATTAAGAAATCTTTAAAAGAACCAGATAAAGCGTACCTACTAAAACAATACTAAACTATGAAAATTTTGTTACTCGTTTCAGATCTTATTAATTTTCTATAACAAAACTTGACTTCGTATATCTAAAGCATCCTCTCTTAAAAGATCCTTCTAAGGCCCACATCAGTTTACCAAGTTAAAGTGTAATTTCGTAAAATCTAAGGCATCCCTAAAAGATCCTTCCAAGGCCCTTCTCAGCTTTCCCTATCAAAGCCTTAATTTATTAAATCTTTAGGCATCCCTAAAAAATCTTTCCAAGGCCCTCATCAGTTTTCCTTATCAAAGCCTTATTTCGCAAGATCTAAGGTATCCCTAAAAGATCCATCTCGGGGCCTGACGTGGTAACGAGGCATCCCTTTTTAAGACATGCTACTTTCAGCCTTATTGGGGCTTTTGCTTCGTGATCCTAATAATCTTTTGCTCGGGCTTGGCTGATTTCAGTCTCATCACCGGGCGAGTGCCGATTCCCCAATTGGCTGACTGGACACTCCAACGGCGGGCTTACCTGGCACACCCTGGACTTGGCCAGGTCCTACACGTTTCATCCGCGCAACGCGTCGCTGCACGTCACGAGATCGAACGCGACTTCGCCGAGGCTCGAGAGCGGCTCGGCGGACGCGCAATACGTGCCCGGCCAAGAGGATCAGGACATGAAGATCCTGTGCAACAGCATCAAGCAGTCCAACGGCGCGCAGACCATGACGATGACAATGCTGGTGGCGCACTTCACCGTCGGCTGGTGAGAGCTCGTCCGTTCCGCTCGCGCGATCTCTCGTTCGCCTCTCTCGGAGATGCTCTCGAAGCGACGCGTCGCTTGCCGCGGAAATGAACGGCGACGGGCGCAAGTCGCGCGCTCTCTCTCTCTCTCTCTCTCTCTCTCTCTCTCTCTCTCTCTTTCGCGAGAGAGGGAGAGAGAGAGAGAGAGAGAGAACGCGCGCCGACATTTCAGTGAGAGAAGACGCGGCGCGGATAACGGAATTACCTCGGACTCGCGCTTCAGCTTTATCGCTCGCGCGCTATTTGTCGCCGAGACACGCGCACGCGCGGCGAGCGCGATTCAAGCGGCGAAATATCAGCCCGGCGAGACATCGCTCTCATGGATTCTCTCTCGTCCTTCTTTTTCCAGTCGGAGCGGTTTTATGTGCATGACATTCTACCGAAGAGACGGCCACGTGATCGAGGTGCAAACGGGAAATGCGGTATCTAGACCGGAAGAAGCATGCAGCCCGCCCTATTTTCAGCAGCACAGTATACCCTTCCTCACCCTAGTCAGTGAGTACAATCCTCTCTCTCATTCTCCGCAGCTTGCGCTTTTCTATTTTCGCCAAGTGTCTCGTCGACAAAGTTCGCTGTTGCTCGCCTCATGTTATTGAAATGCGCGAGGCATCTTTTTACGTTTCCAGCCAGGAGGTAGTATCGCCGGCTCTTTGCGATCTCGCCTCGCGGAATAGCGTCGCCGACGCGAAGCTTCACCGGGAAGTACTGCATTTTCCCTCTTTCTCCCTCCCTCCCTCTCTCTCTCCCGCTCTCTCCCCCTCTCTGCCCTTTTCCTCTCTCTCTCTCTCTCTCTCTCTCTCTCTCTTTTTCTCTTTCTTTCCGTCCTTCCTCCTGGTCGCGGAAACTAGACCGCGGCTATTTTCGCAATTTGTAAAGTGTGCGCACGCTGAGTATGCGCGGGCAAGACCGGATGCGACGCGAGCGTACCGTCAGCGACGTCGAGTAAAGCACGGAAGATGCAAGTGGACCCCGAAGAGACACGAGAGACACGAGCAGGAATTTCGCGGGGAGCCGAGCGAAAGCTGTGGCTCGCGAGACTTCAGCACTCTCCGCGCGCGATTTGAAAAATTCATCAGGACCGGACGCGGTTCCGCGGCATACTCGTGCATACTCGGCCCCTTCGAACACGCCGAGACAACGCGCGGCGACGAGTCGCGCCGTCTCGGGGATGTAATCGGTATGGGGAGAAAATTCCACGAGACGTTCGCCGAATGATATTGCGAGCCCTATCTCGCTATGGTGCGACCGACGACGACCACGTTTTCGGTATGAAACGCGAGCAGGGTCTATGTTATCGCGCCGAAACGAGATATTAATGAAGCAGTTGCTAAGCTAATCTAGAATATACCTCGATAAACTTGATCGCGCGTGGTGTCCCTTTCGCGATATCGTATCGATCGCTCGGCTCTCTCTCTCTCTCTCTCTCTCTCTCTCTCTCTCTCTCTCTCTCTCTCTCGCTCTCTCTCTCGCTCGCTCGCTCTCGCTCTCGCTCGGCTGATCGGCGACGGAGGCGCTCGTTCCGCTTGATTTGCGTGGCCGTGGGGTTTTATCTGACCCACGTAAAGACGATCGCGAGGGAGGGAGGGAGGGAGGAAGGGAAGGAAACACTGACGAGGGGAGAGAGCGGAAGGGGAGGGAGAGAAGACCGGCCGGGCGCGCGCGCGCGCGGCAGGAGAAAAAAGAGTTGCCAAGTAAAAACTACCCGCACCGCCGATAAACCCGGGAAAACTCCAACTTCGTGGGAAAAAGTTTTCGCGCGGCATGGCACGAGGATTTAGTGCCCCGGCAGCGCCGGCACCGGGAGAGCCGGCTGGAAAAGGAGGAGCGAGGCGGCGGCGGCGGTGGCGGCGGCGGCGCGGGCAGGAGGCAGAAAAAAAGGCAAGAGAGACGGCGGAAGAAAAAAGGCAAAGAGAGACTCGGGGAGAACTGGTCGGGGTTGGACGATTTGTCAAAATCCCGCGAACGACTTATAAGTTACAGCCTCCTCCTCGCGAGGCGACTATCGCGCGCGCCTAGCGGCGGCTGCGAACCACCGGCCACTCTCTCTCTCTCTCTCTCTCTCTCTCTCTCTCTCTCTCTCTCTCTCTCTCTCTCTCTCTCTCTCTCTCTGTCTCTCTCTCTCTCTCTCTCTCTCTCTCTCTGTCTCTCTCTCTCTCTCTTGTCTCTCGTCTCTCTCGCGTCCCGCTTCTTCGCAGTTCCTTCTCGCGAGCGAGCGGGCGAGCTCGTGCGAGAACGCGTCGACACACACGATCGTATATATCCGCGTACGTATAACGTCGCGATTCACCGCCGCCGCCGCCGCCGCCCCCGCGAGCGGGAAACGCGGCGGCGACGGCGGCGGCGCCTCGAGAAATTCAATTTGCCGGGAACTTGCGAGGCGCGTCACGGAAACCGTTGAACCTGACAAGCTCGTGATTGAACGACGGTATTTTCTTATCATTTAGCGGCGGCGGCGGCGGCGGCGGCGGCGGCGGCGGCGGTGGTGATAGCGGCGGCGGTGGCGGCACGGCCGTTTGCCGTTTGTCTCGCGTCACTCGATTGCTCGATTGCGCCCGAGGGTCCGAGCGTTTCCGATATATAAAAAGCGGCCGCAATTATTGCGATCACCGGACGGAGTAATATTGGGTTACGTGTCCGATAACTCGCGGATAACACTCTCTCCCTCTCTCTCTCTCTCTCTCTCTCTCTCTCTCTCTCTCTGTTTTCTACACTCTGTAAGAAAGCCGAGCGGTTTCTTCCGGATCCCGCTCGATATACCGGCTGATACAAATGCAGTCCGCGCCGTCTCGTCGTACATTCGGCTCGAGCTCCACGAAATATCGTCGTCTCGAAGAAGAAGAAGAAGAAGAAGAAGAAGAAGGCTGCCAACCGCTGCCTCTTTCCCCCGAACGAGCCACCTCTCGAAACTTCCGTTCGTCCGACCGACCGAGCGACCGAGCGACCGACCGACCGACCGACCAACCAACCGGCCTCCCTCGCCTCACACTCGCGCCATTCCTTCGGGATACGGTTGGTTCCCGTGGGCCAGAGTTGTAATCCCACGGGAGTTATTGGATTCGGTTTGATCCACTGGTCGCGTCCGTCCGCCTCCTCTTACTCTTACTCCCTCCCCCCTGCCGCTGGTGCTTTCCCTCTCGCCTCTCTGTGCCCGTCTCCTTGAATCCTCCTTTTACCCCTTTATCCACCGCTCCCGGATTCCGTATCGGAAAAAGCGCGGACTCGCGCGGAACGGAACGGAGAGCTGCAATCCTCTCATTCGGGGAGCAATGAAGTCGAAAATTCCGCGACGTTCGGCGATGAATCGCCGGCGAATTTCGCCAGCGAGACGGCCTGGCCAGGGCTGGCGATCGCGTTGATGACATTTGTCGCGAGACAAATCGTGCTATCAGGATGTCGACCGGGTGCGCAGGAGTGCAGGAGTGAGGGGGACGACGGCCGGTCGGGAGGGCGGGGAGAGGGTGCTTACTTGCGATTTCGGACGCGATATAAACGGCGCGGATGTAATCGAATATAAATTACCGCCGCCAAGTTAATAACCGCGCATCAGGCTTACTGGATATCGCGCGAGATCATTGGCGGTAATTAACGCCCGGCTGCGCGATACTCGGCCATACGCGCGATATCACACATGCGTGGGCACGACGACGCGGACGCGCGTGTGTAAAAAGCGAATCGACTCGTTTTAATCGGCCGGCGAACATTAACGGATATAATAAAGCTGTCATTCGCGAGATTAATAATACGCTGATTGGATTTTCATCACGCGCGCTGGAGGAGGTCTCCGTTCCCGCTCCCGGGAGTATTTCGTCCTGTCGTGTCCTGTTTCGTTTTTTCCTTTTTTTTTTTGTTTTAGGGATTAATTAAGCCACCCGCGCTCATTATAGGCGAGCTCGTGAGCGCTTGCGCGACTCGTCAAGCACCGAACGCGATTACCCTCGGATTTCCCCGACGAAAGTGCAGGATTTCCTCTCTCTCCCCTCCCTCACCCCCCCCCCTCCTCCAGCTTGAACCGATTGGAATCTATCGGCAGTGCGCGAATCAGCCAAATTTACAATGAATTATTTCTCGAGTCGAGGAGGAGGAGATGAAGAAGACGAAGAAATGTTCGGTTCGACCGGACCAGTCTATGCTCGCGGTATCTCTCTTTCACGGTCCTTTTATAATTCAAGGGAAATATTGACTTCGATTTAATTCACCACTCGTTCGCAGTTATCTCTCGTGGTTATCCTCCTCGCGACGGGAAGAAGCATCGAAAAGCTCAATCCACCGCTCCGCGAGGAGCAAAAAGCCATTCTCCGGACTGAGTCACGTACGAATCTCCGGGGAACCGGCTACGAACGAACGCCAGTATTTATCATTCCACGCACGAGGCACCAAATTTACAATTCTGATGCAAAAAGAGAAGAGCGGCCTCCCGAGCTCCGTATTAGAAATTGCAATCGCGATCGAATAAACAACGACGCGGTAATATCACGATAATGCATAAGGCAACAAACTGGGTGTTTCTTCTCTCTCTCTCTCTCTCTCCCTCCCTCTCTCTCTCTCTCTCTCTCTCTCCCTCTCTCTCTCTCTCTCTCTCTCTCTCTCTCTCCCTCTCTCTCTCTCCCTCTCTCTCTCTCTCTCTCCCCCTCTCTCTCTCTCTCTCTCTCCCTCTCTCCCTCTCTCTCTCTCTCTCTCGTCTTGTGCCGGACGCTGTGTCCGGCATGCTGCCATCGTTGGAGACTTTAATTGATCAGCTGATAACTTTGATTCTTATTAAGAACCTGATTATGCGTCTTGGTTGTAATATCGTGCCCTACGAGGCAACCTGTCATACCGCCACATCTCACACCTGACTTGACGTTTTTGCAGTCGACTCCATTGAGATAGTATTGCGGCATCGGGGCAAATCTCGGGGTTCCTTTTTTCTATCGGGACATTATCTCATTTGTATCGAGTACAATGTCGGAATACGAAAGCGAAATATGAAGCGAGATGTTTTGAGTTTCGAGATATTGCGTATATTAACATGGAGGGGCTCTCCATGGCGATCTCGTCAATGCTGACTGGACTCGCTTTCGCGATTGTGTTGGTGCTGAGTCGGGGCTTGCGACTGCTCCAGGTACTATCCTGGATGGCCTTGTATATAGTTATAGTGTTAATATTCTAAATGCGATACAACGTCGTGCACCGCTGCGCCGTGTGTGTTCCCGTCTCGATCCCCGGCGTCATGGATTACCTCGGATATCAAAAACCTGATGAGGAGAAGAAACAGGCTGCGTAAGCTTTTTCTCTGCATACACCTGCTGTCGGTGTACGCTGAGTTTAGAACGATGAGGAATACACAGTCTGTCCCAGATCCAATGAGACTGGTCTAAAAAAATACAAAGCGTTTATTATTTTGATTTTTTATTCTTGTTTATTCAAAATAGTCTCCTTCTGAGTCAATACAGCGCTGGAAACGTTCAATAAATTTGTCGAAACATTTTTTATACTCATCGGCTGGAATGGCCTTT